AGGAAGATGAGGATGGTTGTCATGTTGTTCAGACTGTCCAGACGCTTCTGGTTGGCCTCCTCAGTGATGTCCCTCCTGGCTGCAACACACACGATCACACACATACCAAAAATAACGACAGTACAATAACAACATACCACACAATTTCCAATTATCAGCTTTTCGCTGGTGGTTTGTTTGTGTTGCACAAAAACACATTCGGTGGCCTGGAGAGACCAAAACCTGCTCGGCCTGTATGTTCGCTGCAAATCAGCATGTCAGTGATTCAGTTTGTTAATATGACTGGTTAAAAACATGGAGGGCGGCTTTCTGAGACAGCAGATGTTTAAATCCAGTGCTCACCGATGACGATGATCAGGACTCCAGCAACTATCTGAAGAGCCAGGGAGAAGGAGATGAGCGTCAGAACAGCAGCGTAGTACCTGAGGACACAAAAACATGATAAAAAAATTTTTTTTAAACTTATTCACTATAGGTTTTTTGAGGCAACAGTGAATACACACACACACACACACACACACACACACACACACACTACCTGTATCCAGCTCCCTGTTCGATGACAGTCTTCATGTGTGTGATGTTGGCCAGGAACAGAGCGATGTCCAACATGCCCTCGGCTGCAGACTTCTTGGTGGCATACAGGTTCATGTTCAGGTTAGAACCGCCCTGAGAAGAAACAGAGAGAGAGATAGATTTCAAATGATTCTTTCCATCCTCAACTCCCAGTGCTTTGTTGAAATTCTTTAGAAACACAACTAGAATACTGAATTCGAAGCCTTTCCTTTCTGTCTAACTTTGTATTTACATCTGCAATCTTGTGTTTTAAAGTCATGGATCCATAATTCAGTTTTGTGCATATATGCAGCTAGACACAATACCAACATAAAGTTTGTAACACTACAATAAAGAGTAACTTACCACACACAGTACACAAAAAAATCACCGTTATCAAATCTCTGAGCGGTACATCTGAACCCAGTGGGTCCATTATAGATAACTAACCCTAGCATTACGTCACTGCACAATCAATACTGTAAAAACTTCCTGATGGAAAGAAGTGACGTTGAACACACGTCTGCTGAGTCATATGAAACTGACCTGAAGAGGGCAGCAAAGACCACTACAGGACTTGACCAGAAAACAAATACAATCCACGAAACAACTTCAACTGTTGTAGTGTTTGTATTTATTTTAAAGAAAATCCTTAAATTCCTTAAATATGATGAGAGAGATCTAGGAAAAGATAAAGCTCACTCTTATTATTGACTCAGAAACAAGAGGATCAAATATTTCTGCCATTGTTTTTTGTTTTATTTCACTAGATTTAGTTTCAGGAATCTTCTTTCACATGACAGATGAGACTAAATCAAATAGATGTTGTGCTGAAAACAGAAAATCCCCAGTTTTTCTTGTGCTGCAGCTCATTTGAAAGTTGTTTTCTGAGCTGCTCTTTGTTGCACCTTCTGTCGCTGAGTGTGTATGAGTGCGTTTTGTGTGTTAAAGTAAACGTTTCTATTTTTGCAGATCAATCATTCGATGGTGAAGCAGGAAATAACAGGTAAAAGCAGAAATTACACTTTTCCTTGCAGCTTTCCCCAAAAAAGAGGTGATGTGTGTGTAGGTGTGTGTGTGTGAGTGGGTGTGTGTGTGTGCAGAGAAGGAAACATTACACATCCTTACATAAGACCTCATGCATGTATGACTCTTAGCACATGTCAGGAACAAAAAAATGGAGAGATCTAATTATCGTCCTGTACATGCACATATTGTGTTTCTGAACACTGAGCCATGGATTACAGTCGTCTGTCCACAGAAGGCTCATTTTACTCTGGATTGTGTCAGAGCTGTTTGAATCAGTCTGGTTTTCTTTAACAGGGGACGTATAGAAAGTCGATCATGCGTGTATCAGACACACCTTATTGCCTTGTGAACATTATCACTGTACATGAACTGAGCAGTAATTATTCAACAATACAGCCTCTCTGTGTTTCCTCTGTTTCTCTGCAGCACTTTGAAAGTCCTACTTGTTTCTGTACGTGCACAATTACTGCTCAATTTGTGGATTCAATTGTTCTTTGAGAAGCAGCAGCATTGAAATACGTTGTGATTTTGCCATTGTACCTACAAATACCATTGTACTGGTAACAGTGTGCCATGACACTCAAAAAGTGTTAAATTGGTAACCCTATCTTCATCCATCTTGTATAGCCGCTCTGTAAAAAAAAATACTGAAAGATGATGTTTATTTTTTAGAATAACTTACTTAATTCATTTAATTGGTGTCATTATGTATGTTACACAGTATTTTATCCATCCATCTTTACTTCTGTCCATCCGTCTGTCCGTCAATCAATCTACGACATATGAAGCCTTTAAATGTCAGGACAAACACTTGAAACCTCACTCAAACATTTCCACTTTACTTTGTTTTCAGTTTCTATCCTGAACAAAAGGAAGCACTGCAGCCTCTGTGAACACGTCACACATGCACAAAGCATTCTTGGCGTCTTCGTTTTGTCTTCCAAAGTTCTCTGAGGTGAAAGGACTGACGATAACTGACCAACAGCCCCATAAATCCACTGTGCAGCAGCAGCCAGTGTGTTTTACATCCACTTCCCTCTGGCGCACGTCCTCCCTCCGCAGGGAGACAAGCGAGTTGGCAGGTGCAGCTCGGTAACAAATAGCTTTCACTGACGGCGTCCGTATGAGGTCTGTGGCTTATCATAGCTGGGCCACGAGTTCTGGAATGAGACGTCACCGCTGACATTTTCAAATGTGGGATTTGGACTCGATGAAGGCTGCAAACCAAAAACCAAAATAATCTAACCCTTTACGCAAGAGGTATGTTTTGTTTTTTTGGTACTTTTTTGCACCTTGCAGTTTATCCAGATGTTTACCAAGGGAGCCGAGGCACCACGTGATATCATTCTGTGCAAGAAAACTCAATATCTTCCCCCATACAGTAAGAGTACAGTTTGTTCCAGACCACGTTAATCTCCAAGAAACTATGAAGCAATTCCAAAAAAAACTGCAAGACTGTCAAAACACTGCGAACACATGTAGCCCAGCCCCTGGAATGTTTTCCTGAAGTGTGTGTGAAAGAACTAGAGGGAGAGCAGGGTAGGAGCGAGAGAGAAAGACGGTGAAGAAGGAGGGAGGAGGACGTGAAGAAGTGATGAAAAAAGAGAGACGGTTGGATATAGAGACACAGAGAGAGAGAGGGAAAGTGGGAAAATGTTTACATTCTGGCCTGTTTCCATCATTTCTTCTTTGGAGGCTCATGTGGTCACACTTTATCAACATCAGCTTTGGGAATGCTGCCAAAACACACACACACACGGACACACACGGACACAGACACACAACACAACCAAAACATTAGAATGACCTACATACAACTTTATGGCCCATGTGTGTTCACTTACTGTCATGTCTTTCTAAATGTTCCGACTGTTCCTTCGCTTCACTTAATCCCATTTTATCTTTTAAAGTATTCATAAATACACGTTAATAAATTACAAAATGGCAGTTCGAGCTGTTGTCTCAGCGGGCAGGTAGTAAAGTCATACATCCTTATTTACAGCATCAGCTCACACGTGGCTGCAGGAGGTCACACACATTCACCCTCAGAAGCTGTGAAATTCAACCGTCCGGCCTCCGAGTGGCTCCATCACGCACGAGATTGAAAAAAAAAAACTGCCTTCCCTGCTGAGAAATAATCAAACAGCTACAAAAGGTAACTAGATATTCTATTTTTTTGTATCGCCCAATCATATGGTCTCCAGCACGTCTCAGTTTTCTTTGCACTGTTACTTCACAGGTTTTTGGTCCTTATCACTAAAAAAGGCATCCAAATGTTAGCAGTTGTTTCTATTTATGTCAAAAACCTCCATATGGAGTAAAAGAGGAGGAGTCATTACCTGCAGTATTTTAGAATTCACAGCTTTTGCGTCCTGGGTAAAGGGGGGGAGGAACTGTTTTACTACTTTTCTACTGTTTTTGAAATCACTTCAGCCTCATGGTTGGTAAGTGATCTGCTACCGAGATAAAAATCTTTAACATGCGCAACATCACAGCTTCAAAATACATTTATCTGCTCAAAAAACATCGTGTCGAAGTCTCAGAACACAAGTAGATGATATTTAAATGTTGGTATTTTTTCCAAACACAGTTAGGCTGTAAAATAATTCTACACATGTAGTAATCTTGATCAAATTATTCTAATCCTCATAGGGTGGAAAGTTCAAAGTGCTTTACAGTACAAGTCACATTCACCAACTGACACTCTCATTCATACACAGCCTCTATATGCTGAGCTTTTTCTATTACACACACCGTTCACACACTGTTGGCACAGCCGCCAGGGGCGATTTGTGGTTCAGTGTCTTACCCAAAGACACCTCGGAGCTGGGCATCGAACCACCGACCTTCTGGTTAGTGGACGACACTCCTGAGCCGCACAGCCACAGGTATCTGGTGATGGACTGAAATAGTATTGGACAAACTGACTTGATTCTAGCTTGAGATGAAAAGTCAAAGAATCACCAAAGTTTTTAAAGATAGTTTTTATTGGAAAATAAATGTACAACATTTCATGGCACTCCATTAAACAGTTATAGAGACATTTCACCAGATGTTAAAAATGTCACAGCAGCACTCAATGAAGAAAGAGTCAGTAAAGTCTGGCAGCATTTATAAATCCTCAGGGGACATTGAATGTACAGAACACTTCATCTAATAACTGCTGAGATATTTACAGTAAGTCTGCACTGAGGTGGTGACATATCCATCCCTATAGACTCAGCGCTGCGAGCCTGGTTGAAAACAAACACTATATAGTACAGCGCTATGTCATTTACACTTCTCTGCTCATGGGTCGTCTTTTAATTTTTTCACTCCTGGTTTCTGTAGATGTGTGTTTATGTTGTAAATTCATCCTATAGAGAATCCAGAGTACTTTTAGGAGTTCCATTCCTGAAAGTCACTGATCCACAGCT